TAGCAAATGAGCGAATGTGAGTCAGTTGACAAATAGCATTGATAATGGGGCCGCTACAAAGTGTCGTTGTGTTGCATGCAGACTTAGGAAGAGTGTGCTGCATACACTCAAAGCAAATAGAGGACATATCTGTAGATATTATGTTATATATTGTATTATAATGGATGGCTTAGCGATATATGTACATTTGAATGTTTGTGCTTATTGATAATGAAGTTGCACTTATGCGCCTCATCAGTCTTTCAAGTCAAGGTTGCCAGATTGCTTTGAGCGCTTCTTGTTTATTTGTCTCCTATCCAAAATCACACATAACTACAGATATATTACTTTAAACAAATTCTTGTTTGATAGTGGTACATTTTAATAAATCAGTAATTTATGAATTTGTATTGTTTGGTGGCACCCGATAATTTAAATATATTTTTCGGTATTTAAAAATAAAAATCACTTGACTTGGAGCTGGCGAAAAACTTATGTGAAATAAATTATGGCTTAGTTAAACTTATAAAATGTTATATGATTGTAAATCTAGTATATTCTATATAAGAAATGTTTTAGGTCAACATTAAGCCCAGGGCGTATTGTGCTTAAATTTTCGAATATCGCATATCAAGTTTGTCTTTGCTCAAAATAGATTTATTGTGAAGTAATTTTCTATTTCCGTTTTCCATATCGCTGACATCAATGCTAAGAACATTTGGCCAACATCTTAAATTTCGACTACATGGTTTTGTTTTTGAGTGTATTACTGACTGAAACCCAGTATTTGTCACAGGCACACATCTCAGCAGCAACATCAGCAAAGAGTTCCAAGTTAATTTGTTGTTTAGGTAAATAAACCTTGTGCATTATTTATTGTTTGCATTGTGCACGCCGCTCGGGCAAAATAAGAGATATATGTATTGCTGCCATTCCCCTCTTGCTGCCCTTTGCTTTGCACACTTTTTAGTTTCAGAAAGTTTTTCGTTGCGTTGAGCTAAGACTGCAACTAACTGACACAGTTTTGAATTATAGTTCTTGTTGGCTAAGAGGTTGCTTGAACTGCGCTCACTAAGCGTTTATCTTGGCTCAAAGCCTTGGTTGTTCCAATGCACCTATGGCGTACTCGGTCCATTGAAATAAATCTCAAGTAATTCGCTGATGCAAACTTTGCCAAGCGGCTGCAGTCCTTGTGGAATGCAACATAGGGCATGTGGCATGGGGCTGTGTCTCGCCAGCAGGTGCCAAGGCGCAAGTGACTAGTCCAAGTGTAATTTACGATTTTTCTGGATGCCAAGGCAGCACCCAGCGCCCTGAGACGTGCAGCATGAAAAGTTTAAGCTGAAGTCATCTCTAGCTTCTCTCTTTCTCTCCCACTTCCTCTGCCTCTCTCACTCTTTCTCTGTGGCTGTGTTCGATTCTCGTTATAGGGAGAATTCTCAGAGGCAACAGTTGCACAATGCTTGTGATGCATAATTAAACAATTGTCTGGAATATTTTGTAACAACTTTGACACCCCAGTGGCCGAAAGACAAACACATCCGTCAATTGGCAAAGTGATAAATGCATCCTGATTCATAATGCTTAGACAACATCTCGAGCCATGTGAGAACTTTGTCTTACATCACATGTGCAAGTGCAAATATATTAATATTCTTCATTATCGATGTCTATTATATATATATATATATTGTGAAGCAATTATTAATGCAGACGTTTTATTATTTAAATTGTATTATTTGTCAGTTTCTCTGATTGCTTTCGCCTTTGAATTATGTTTGCATAGTGTTCAATCTTTAATTAAACTAATAGCACATTGGTACTAACACAATAGCCAACCAACATCAGCATCATTAACATTTCGAACAACAATAGAAGGAACGATAACATCAGCATTAATTAATCTAGCAGTAATGTAATAACCGCCATTAAACTAAACAAACAGAATTCGGCGTTGGACATTTGGTTGTGTTGCCGCTGCGCATAAATTTCAGTGTGACGAGAAACACAAGGACATACGTAACCAGAACCCTCTCGACTTTCTCTCCTGTGTGTGAGTGTTTGTGGTTGCACTTCCAATTAAATGTTGGGCCGATAGCGAAATGTTGCAATCGACAGCAGCCGTGGGAATTGTACTTTGCAAACAGTATTGCCGGGCCGAATGTTTAATGATGTGGAATTAATGCGCAAACATCATCGAGAACGTCGAGACGTGAATCCCACACGCATTTATGCGCCAGGTGAAATGTTAATGACATAAGCCTCACACTGGGTTCATTTATGACTGTTAGCGTCCATATTTGCCGATTCTATTCATTCAGCATGTTGATTCGTACACTTAATATCAATAAATGCACTTGGTGAGTTGTACTTAATACTCTCTTCTCTTCAATGTGGGTAAAAGGGGTATAATGGTTTTGTGCAAAAGTATGTAACAGGCAGAATCAATCAATATATATATCATTGATGAACTGTACAAATGTCATCAAGATGGGCCTCATTGATATCGCCAGACGAATGCATATTTAAGAGTAATTCCAAAAATGCTTATAATTTAGTGCGTAAACCTTTTTTAATGACAAATATATTAATTAGCTGTGGTCAGGGTATCCCATAGTTCGACTACAGCCTAGCTACTTGTTTGCCTATGCTAGTGGATAGCTCGTTTCACAATTTGATTTTACAATGTGAGTCTACTTGACAATTATATTGAAATTGAAAAAGAAATCCACTCAAAAAATTAACTCCTGTGTGTTGAATTCGAGTAAATATCACCCAAAAAAAGAATACTACAAGAAAACATACAAACATTCCCAATCTTTATCAAACTTGAGTTATGCGATTTGCTTGTAAGCAGCTAAAGATGTGATTCTATTCCTCGAATTTTATGAGTCGGCTATCCCGCCCACAGCAGTCTAACAATTGGCGCCAGTTTGCTTGAATTTCTATCAAGCAACTCGTAAATAAGTATGTATTTTGCTTGTAGAGCGCTATTTGAGTCAACAGCAGCAGCCAGAACAACGACAATAATAGAGTTTCAGTTACGGTTTTGGGTTTCACTTTTGGGGCACAAAATGTTTATTGTCCAGCAAAAAGCGAGGAAATACGCATGAAATTAGATTTGCTTCATCGAATTGATTTCATTTGTTTTGATTTGTTTCCGAAAATACGCAAATTGGATACGAGACCAAACAGTCACACACACAAACACACACACACACACACTTTTTGAGTGTTGTTGTGTCTGAAATGAATACATTTCGGTCAAATGGTTGAGATTCAAGCATTGTGTTGAGCTGGGGCGTTGACAGGAAGGCGTTGCGGTTTATGTTGACGAAAACACGAAGCCAACCCAAAGAATCCAACTCCCAAAATAAAGCCCTTACCATTTTGGCTTTTAGTAGTCTTTGCTGATGTTGCTGCTGCTGCTGCTGCTGCTGCTGCTGCTGCTGCTGCTGCTGCTTCTGTTAGCGATTGAGCGATCAACACTTGGCAGCCTGGGCGGGCATTAAAGTGTCAGCAAACATACAAATACATATTTATATAAATATATATAGTTTTTGGGCCATGTGCAGAATGTGGGTGATTTAGGCCGCATGCGGCTTAATGTGCCAAGCGTTAAGATACCAACAAGAGCCCAAAACAAAACTTGCCGCTCAATCAAATGTCCAAATCTGAGCAACCCTTTTTCGCTTTAGCCATGTCTGCCGGGGATTAACAGATCAGCGGCTAGAATGAACCCAATGCCAAGCAATGGTTTGGCTTTAAGTGCTGCTGCTGCTGCTGCTGCTGCTCCAGAAGTTTTGGGACGGCAACTTATTCAAGACTTTGCACTTGATGACCCAATTAATGGCTCTGCAAAATTTATTTATTACCAACTTTTGTGTGAAACTTGTATTTTTCAAGCTTTTCAATCGTATACATATACATTATTTTGATTTATTTCCCAGTGCTCATTATAAATAAAAAATACTCAGCAGTTGGCCAAGTTGCGAACCCAAACTCATTCACAACTAATCATTATTGAAAACGTAGCCAAAAAACAAACTTTTGTGCCGCGCCCATTCGCCCAATCGCATTACCAGCCAACAAGGGTAGTAAGCTGGCAAAAAGTCAGTCAAAACTTATAACGAAATAGCTTTGGTCAAATTGTTTTATTGTCCTTTTGTGTCCCTTATCCAACACTCGGCCTCTCCTTCTCCAGCTGCCTGCTTGCGATGGCATATTGGTTGACGCTAAAATCTCTCAAAGGATTTCCATCCGGGCTTCGATTGCCACAGCAACTAAGCTTTTTTCTTCTTTGTGTTTGTACAGGATATGAGAAGGAGTGCATTTTGTATTGAATTACCATTTTGTGAGCTTAAAATATGTGTGTAAAATATATATATATTTATATATATATATATATATGTCAATATATAAGAGTATACGTCCACCATGGATGCCATCTAAGATACGGTTACTGTAAGCAAGTGCTGAGTGTTTTAAATATAAATATTAAATCATCTTTTCACACACAATAATGTTACCATGGAGTCCGATTACAGCACAACAATGTTGTGGCAATTCAAAAGGGTGTATTTAACCAGAATTGAAGTCATAATTAATGCATACTTGTCTATTATTAGAGTAAGTAGTGTTTTAAGATTTTTAAAGTATTTTATATAATTTCCTTCTTCTGTCTAAAAACGGCGATTCCAAAAACAAGCGTTTTTTAAGCTCGTGCTAGAGTGCTTAGAGTGTAATGTGGTATGTACTCCACAAATGAAGAGAGTTTCAGGTGCTCTTTAAAACATTGCGTTAAATTGTGTGGAAAAGTTATGCGTTGTGCCTCGTCGTGGCGTCTCCACGCCCTCGTCACACTCCCTTTTTGTGCGTCCGCCTACTCGTACGGAGTACGGAGTACTTTTTTTTTTGTTTTTCACTCTGAAAGTTGACTTAGCAAACTACTTGAAATGTAAATATGTTTGAACGGCAACTGGAAAGGCAAACTGACAGCAACTTTGAAAGCTCACGTAATTATGCGCATCACACAGCTGTCCGAGGCACTCCACCCACTCCTCCTGGCACTGCTGGCCCTCCAGCTCATATCAATCTCCAGTTCAACGGCAATGCCCACCCAGCTGCATCAGGAGCGTTCGAATGACGACTCGAACCGAATGGATGATATGGATGATGGGGTGGGCAGCGGTTGCACTAATTCAGGCGACAATATTAACAGTTCTAAATGTGAGGACAAGAGCGGAATGATGCCTCCATGCAATGCCAGACAGACGGCCACAAACATTGCCCAGAAGGCCGCCACCGAGGCAGAGCAGGCATATGGAACACAACAGGCTGCTGCCGCGGAGGTCGCCCGCATGGTTAAGAAGCAGCTGGCGGATCGAGCATATGCAGCTGCCAAAGCAGCGGAGGCGGCACTCTCTGGCAAGCAACAGAATGTGGAGCAGCTAGAGCAGGAGATAAGCGAGGCTGAGGCGGCTCTGCAGCAGCAGGCAGAGTCCATTACTGGCACGCAAGACAATCTTAATATCGCCAGCATGACGGTCAAGGATGCTCAGCAACTGTCCCAATCCCTGAAGAAGGCCATCAACTTAGCTCAGGAAAATCTGGCTCATGCCAAGGCTGTTGCCGCCGGTGCCCAGCATGAGCTCGAGTCGAAGTCTCAACTGCTGGAGCAGTCGCAGTGTCGCATCGATGGGCTCAAAAAGCGCCTCTGCGAGGCCCGCAGAGAGATGCAGAATATTAAAAAGTCCGCCTATAAAGCAGTCTGTGCGGCTGCAGAGGCCTGCAAGAAGGCCCGAGATCGCAGGACAGTCACTGAGAAGGGGCGGATTAAACGTCGCATACAACAGCAAATACAACAGCGGCAGCAATCACATAATTCAGGGGTATTATGGTGAAATCAGTCTATGAATATATTTCCTAATTTTCAATTTAATTTTATGATTCAACTCATGATGTATATTTTCATAATATGTTTACTACATAGAAAAATAAATTACATTATTAAGAATTAAGTTGAGTCTGTAGCTCAAGACAAACCATGAAGTACTTACTATTAATTTTATATTATTAATTTTATTATATTTTATTATCTCAACTTGCATTTATTTCCGTTTCAGCTTTATATAATTTCTAGTTCCTTGTCTTAAAATATTTATTTTTATTATTTTTATAAAAAATAAACCAGTTTTCATTATTAAACTTCTGTTTTATTTTGCATTTCGTTACATGTAAGCCTCCTTCTCTTCAATGCCCAGTGTGACCAGCTGTCAGTTGCTTACATTTCCTTATTATTTTTTCTTCATATTATAAAAACTGCTGATATTATATATTGTACACGGACGAATAAATTACTTCTACTAGATGGAACTGGAGTGTACAATTTAATCCAAAATAGTAAGTATTTACTATGCATTTTTCAGTACATAAATTTGTATCTCAATTTGCATTTCATTATATTCCGTTTTCCTCAATTCCCAGTGTGACCAGCTGTCACTGAGTCACTTTATAACACAGAAGTTTACTGTGTAGTTGCCTCAAATAGTTTGTGTTGTCTTGCTGTAAAATTAATTGGGCCATCAAAGCAACGGCGACTGTTATTGGTGTCCTTTTGCCCTGATAAGTTATCAGCCTTATCGAAATGGCCAAGTTGTTTGCTTTGCCAAATCCCCAGACGCTGCTTGCGTGTCCTTTTGTGCGTTGATCTGTTAATCCGAAAAGGGTAACCACCGTGCCGGTCGCAAACCAAGCTGTTCCATATGATTGAACGACGGCTCTTCGGTTTTTTACTGGTCATAAAAAAAGCTCAAGGTTTACGTTTATATTGGACGTTATGGTTTCACTAGAGACGACTTTAAGGACACTAGGCAGCAACAGGATTTGAGCTTAAAGGCTTTAGTGCTAGAAAATTTTACTGCCAATTAACAGGGCTTCTCGAATAGTTGGATATATATTTAAGTGGAGTTGAGTTACTGCAAATGGACACTCGACAACAACCACAACTGTCCCAATCCGCACTTATCCTTGCCCCCAAAAATCATTTGGTTGCTTCTCTTGTTGTTGCTTCTGCTGCTGCTGCTTCTTCTGTTGCTGATTCTGTGGCATTTGCACATTTATCGAGCGTTTTGGCTTGTCCTTGTGCTCGTCCTCGTCGTCGCTCATGTCACTTACATGCGCCTTTTTGCGTGGCCAAGTACATGTGCAGAAGTGCCCCAAATGACACTTCGTGTGGGCGAAGGCCTGGGTGCTCTGAGTGTGGCAAAAAAAATCGCAAAAAACGTACTTAAATCGATGCACATAAAAATTCCGGCAAATGCACCTAAAAACTACGAACAAAAATGAACTGAGTCGAATCCAAAATGCTCTGTAAAAATCAGAAAACTCATAGAATATTAAAAGCCACAAAGCATACATCTACGATGAGACAAAAAGTTACGACAATTGTATTTTACAAAAATAAAATAAAATAATTTAAGAATCGTTGTCATATTTAAGCAGTTTTTTGTTAAGCCTTGATGAGTTAGGATCAGAATGAACAACTCTATTGATTGTCGTTCAAGTTGAAATGAGTCATCATTTTAACAATTTCAACTTATTTTACTAAAACCTTATGCTTACAAGAAAATATTGAAAAAATTATTGAAAGCATTTGTGTTTTGGTTCATTCCTTTTGCACCGCATTAACTAATTTCCTGTGCATCTCATTGTGAAAATGTAATAACCCCATGCTAGAGTTGTCACCCTTTACATATCATAGCATTGCACTGCCAAAGACATCAACAGGAGCAACAACAAAGCCTCAGCTACAAACGCATACACAAAGACACACACACACACACACACACACACACACACACACACACACACACACACACACACACACACACACACACACACACATACAGACACATAGGGACACACAAATTCAATTTCCTTTCGTAGTTGCTAGACCCCCGCAAATGGCACATACCATCATGCTAAGCTCCAGAACCAATGCCTGCCCGAATATAGTCCACATGCACTGACTGCTGCCACTACAATCTACCCCACATCCCCTCCCCTGCCAGACTGTCTGTGTGTGTGTGTGTGTGTGCATATTATATTTTTACCCTTGCAGAAGTGCTTATTGATGTTGCATCTGAAATTGAAATCTGTATTTTTCTCAATGCCTGTTTTTTTTTTTGGGAGTTTGAGCCGCTTGGATCGCTTACAGTTGAACTGTATCAATTTCGTTTTCATATTTTGTAAACTATCAATTAAGCAAAGTTGGCATTTTTGTAAAATAATATCGAACAGTCGGGTAAATAAGTTGAGCTCCAACACAGAAGCTGAACTCGAGGACAGAGTGAAGTTTAATTTCAATGCATAAGTAAATTGAATTTAAGCAACAGGAAAATTGCTTGGATGCCACAAAAGGTGCCTGAGCACCTAGCTGACACGCCCACATATATCCCCCCCCCCCCTCCCCCCATCCTACACCTTGCCATGCAATAAATACGAGCAGCAGAGTTTTTGAGTCTGTGGAATGAATTTCTCAAAGCAGCTGACCACAAAAACCAACACATGAAATTTAAGCATAAACGAGACGGAAGTTGAAAGTGGGAGAGAGAGAGAGAGAGAGAAAGACGACAACGTTGATGAGCGCTGCCATAAGCCGGTGATGAGATTGTGGCTAAAACTTCGATCTTCGAAGCGTAAAGAAGCCACAAAATTGAGTAACAGTCAGTTAGTTTTTACAGCTTTAATTTGAACTATTGCAAAATTGGGTGAAAGTTTTCAGGAAAAGAAAGAAAGGAAAAGAAAAATGATTACTTTTGCGTTATCATGTAGACAAACTCCTCGTAGTCGATTTTGCCATCGCCATCAAAGTCCGCCTCGCGTATCATATCGTCGATCTCCTCATCGGTTAGCTTCTCACCGATATTGATCATAACGAAGCGCAGCTCAGCTGGCGAGATAAAGCCATCCTCGTCCTTGTCAAATATTTTGAATGCCTCGCGCAGCTCCTCCTCTGTGTCATTCTCGTGCGACTGTCTGGACATCAACTGGCAGAATTCCTGAAAGTCAATCTCGCCATCGCCACTGGTGTCGACTTCATTAATCATATCCCTGAGCTCCACCTCGGTGGGATTCTCGCCAAGCGAACGCATCAGATTGCCAAGCTCGCGGGTGCTGATCCTACCCGATTGGTTCTTATCGAACAGCATAAAGGCTTCCCTGTACTCGGCAATTTGCTCTTCACTAATATCAAGGTTGTTAGCCATTGTCGAATGTTTTTCGTAATTTCGTGTTTGTTGTTGAACTCGTTCGAACCGAATGTTTTTAAATATAAACAGACTGAATCGTGTCTAGATTTTAAAACAAGTTTTTTCGCCCGCCTACTTTCTAGCGCTCTGTCATTATCGCCACAAAATCCTTATATACAATATTACCCTCTGCATTTGAATTGGCATCTAGTACGATTTGATCGAGATCGTCATCGTTCATCGGATCACCCAGTGTGGCCATTATATTGCGAAACTCCTTCTCGCTTATCCAGCCATTGTCATCCTTGTCGAATACCCTGAATGCTTGTATTATCTCATCCTCGGGCGTTTGGTCCTTGTACCGCATGGACATTATGTGCAGAAAATCGCTCAGATACAACTCATCCAAGCCGTCGGGATCGTATTCAGCATAATAGTCCTGTAGTTCATGCTCAGGCGGCATTTGTGCGACGGCTCGCAAAATATCCTTCAGTCGCTTCATTGGTATAACTCCTGCATAGGCTGTGTCAAACAATGAAAATGCCTCAATGAGATCCCGTTCCTGTTCCACATTTAGCGTATGTGGACGTATAAGGCGCTCCTCTGGCAGCGGTGTGGCAAAATCATCATCAAAATCCATGATGACAATGTTATTCTTAAAGTATTTCAAAGATTAAATCGTATAGATTACTTTCAATTTGGTAAACAATATAATATTGGAAAAAAATGTCTGTGACAGAATAATTTGTAGGATATGAAATTTGAAATCTTTAACTTGGCCTTCTCAAATTCTTCGCTTCTTATCTGCTCTTAACCAAATATTTACGAGTATATTGTATAATGTATCTAATTAAAATTATATCTTTTATATATTTGAGTAAGGAAATTCCTTAGCTTTAAATAGATATTAATGTATGCCAAAGTATTGAATGTCGGAAACAGGTAAAATTAAATTATAATTTTCAAACAAAGTTCGCAATCTGAGCTGTGTGCTAGAATATCTACGTATGTATTTATACAGGTCCTAATAACACAAATGCAAATTAGCAAACGAATTCAATTAGAGCAATTTATTGTTGCTTTCTGATACTGATACTTGTTTGTTTATCTGGGTTGTTATGGGTTGTGTTGCCGTTTTGCCTGATTATGGTCAGATTATGGCCAAGCGAGCTTGTTGGCCCATCATTGCAATATCAGAGTGGTCACTTCTCTCTGCACCCAGACCGAAAACTCTTTTATAAGCAGTGCTGAGATTTGTTAACAAATGCTTTGGGGCAGCACCAGCTTCTATATAGGTACATATTGAGATCTTGGGAGCATTAAGAAAGTGCAGTTGCAATAGGAGTTCTCATTAGCAGTAATTTCAATTTCAATTTGGTTTGAATTGTATACCAGCCAAAGCTGAAATCCAAGTAGAATCCGATGCCAAAAGGCATTTGTGGTCAGAAATTATGAGAATTGTGCAATTTGGCTTAACAGTGCCAACAACAAAAGCTAAGAATGCTTAGCCACAAATGGTGGCACGTAAACGTTTCTACGAAACGAAAATCTGTAAGAAACTACAACTCCAAAAAGCTAACGTTTTTAATTAAACTTGTAATGACCAACACAGATGACCCTTGGCTGGTTAAAAAAAATAGAAGAATAGGAAAATTATAAATTTAATTAAAGCTAAAGCTAAAGTATGTGTGACCTAATTGGTAAATACTGACTATGAGATACACTGTGTTAAATATTTGTATACTTCATTCAATCAAAGTGAACATAAATTAACACAAAACATTTCTAAAATGCCGAAGTTCACCTGAATTGTACGTTGAAGCAATGTCCTTATATAGACTTAAATTGCTTAGACAGTTTTTTTATTGAATATATTTATCCACACTCCATTCCTTACGCATTTAACAATGGCGCCCAGAATTTCTAAGCCCATTGTATTTAAACAAAAATAAAGGAGAGATTGCCACGTTTGATAAAGAGTCAATCTGCTTAACAGCCAGAAGCAGTTTCTTAAATGGATTCTGATTACGCCAGCAATTTCGAATATTGGTAGTATCCTCATTGCGCCTTCTCTTTTGCAGCAGTGCTGGAAATCGCTGCATGATTGCATTCAGTGCCGATTTCAATTAAGCATATGAAAGCAGCGTTTGCCACACAATGCGGCACTCGGTAACAATTGAATGGGCTGTGGCAGTCCGCCCCTTATAAGTCCGGGTCACTCATTGTCAGTTGTCCAGTGGCTCTGGCTGGTCAGCTGCAATAGCAAAATAATGCCACTGGAAATGCCAAAGCAGATTCAATATGCGTTCTTCTTCATTTTGTTCATTTTGTGTATCTGTGTGCAACCGGAAATGAAATATAGAGCAGGAAGGCAAACAAGAACACTGAAAGTTGGTGCGTCGTTGAGGTTGCCTTTGATATGAAAATTTGAAGACAATCATTGTTCTGGGGCATGTGCAGTCTTTTACCCGGTAGTTGGTCCAATTTTTGGCATATTTGGTTTGTTAATCTGCCATTTACTGCACAACACAGCTGGCAGTTTTGATTAAATGTGACGCAACTTTGCAAATTTAAGCCAACAAAATTATATTACATTTTCATCAAGTAAAGTCAATAAACTCACATATTGTTTTTTATCAACATTAACAGTCAAGTCAATATAAACGCCTCTGAAAACGAGTTTTGTTAGCTTGTCATGTGAGCAGTTGGTAAAGTCTACCAGGAAATTTGTTGTTGTTGTTAAAATAAACCCATCATCAAACACGTATTTGAGAGTGTGTGGCATCGTATAGAAATAACAAGCAAATATTAAGCATGCCTTGCTGCATACTCTAAGACAAAAGTCTTGCTACACCTTTCAATGCCTTCAACGTCAAGGGCTTTTAACTCTTTGAGGACCGACGGCAGGCATTTTAAAGCAACCCACGGCCAGGATATAGGATACACAGAGTCTCAAAGTATGTTGACTGAAGTGCCAGGGCAAAGTAAGTCATCGGAGCTAAGTAAGTCAACGGCTGGGTAAGTTGAAGCCCGAAGTCGGGCTATAAATATAAATGAACTGAAAAAAGAAAAGGAAGGAATTGTGAACTGATTTTTAGTTCAAATAGTTACACACTGAACTCGCTCTTAACACTTAATCAAATCATAGGCAATTTATTATCATTTCAACGACTGTCCAAATTCAAGATATGTTTCCACTTCTGGATTTTGATTAATACCATTCGTTGCATAGGGAATCTTCCTAGAGTAAAGAATCAGAATCAGCAAAACCAAGCTGCAGCTGCTTGACTTGTCAAATTTAAAATTGAGGGGAATCCCTTCCAGGAGTACCCAAAACTATATTTGCGTGTATATTCTACATTATTTAAAAAATAAATTGAGTTAGTTACAAGTTTTTTAAATAAAATGCAGAATCATTTCATAATAATCTAATAAACATGTTTCTTTACACGAAGATTTTGAAAAAATGCAATTGAATCACAAAAATAATTATAATGAAGCAAATTCAATTTACACCATATTAATGAAAATAATAATGAACTGTCAAATGTATTTACAATTCGAATTATAATTAGTTGGCTAATTCCCTGAGGCAAACATCTTAATTAGTTTGTTCAATTTCCGCGCTGTTGAGTTATTCTTAAAACCAGATACGATGGAGGCACACACACGCATACACGCACACACGCAAACACCCATACACACACACGCACACACGCACACGGAGGATGTTCGAAGTTTTCTTGACTTTGTGAGACAGTCCTTTCGGTCATGTTAGTTTATTGTTTGCTTATGGCACAAATTGCATTTGTGGATGACAACAAAAGCTTTGGTTATGCCAACAAGATGATTAAATTACTCATACGACCCATGGGCGCGCAAAAGAGCGTTCAGTGGGCTGTAACACTGTGGACAACTTTCTGTGAAGTTATTGTTATTGTTTTAGTTTCTGTGTTGCCAGGCATTTAGTTAATTAAGTTTTACAGCAGCTCGACAAGCGCTCCGCCCAATAGACACCTCCCCTCCAGCCCTCAGCCAGCCCATTTAATTAGTTTTTAATTATTTTGCAGGATTTTTTTTATTTTTTCTTCTTCCGAACGCTTTTCAAACTGGACAACGAGCACAATCGTGGGGTATTTGTTTTGAGTTTAGTTAATTTTATTTGTATTTGCTGAAAAACGCCCACAGCTCAACGCTTCCCACATCAGAGCGTTGTTCATTCAGCACATTATACACGCTTTGTTTTACAGCGGTTCGCTTTGTTTGCCATCCAGGCCACTTCTGTTGCCCGTGGAAAGTTTTAGGTTAGCCCTATTCGCTTAATAGGCCAGTCGCAGCTTGTGTTGGGTAATTAAGTTTTGTTTAAAACTAATAAAATTTAAGCTTGCCATCTAGCAAATCACTGGCTACAGCCATTGGCCGAGAATGGATGCAGTAAAAGTTTTTAATTGATATTTTGAGCATCAACAATATCATCATCATCATCATCGTCATCATCTGCAATGGCGCTGATTGAAATAGCCAAGCAAATATTGCACTTTACTGCATATTTAAAAGCAACTGTGTAAATTTGCCTGCTGGCGTCGAAGAGGTAGCTGTGTAAATATTTACACAGTACGTTGGCTGTGCCATAAACCACCGCAAAACAATAAAATTCGCAATAAACCAAATGGAAAGCGGCAAAAGAAATGGAAATGAGAAATTGGTGCCGGCGCATGTGAAATGCATGCAATGCCAAACAATGCAACAACGCCACAAAACAACAACAAACGCAAGCAAGTCACAACAAACCAACTACAAAACCAAAATTCAAGGAAAATACCAGAATTTGATTTTGGTATACCCTTACCGAGGCCAAAATATGACGAGTTACTTCCACGACAATAATGGAAAACGTAAATGTTCAGTTACTAATTACTAATTTTTGTATACACTTCCGTAGGCCAAAATATCAGAAGTTGATTCCAAATCCGAAAATAAAATTATTAACTTTTTAATTATTTAAGCAATAGATCGTCTTCAGTTTTCTCTCCTTTCATCTACTTTTTTCCACTACTCTTTAATTATCTTATTTGATTTTTTTGTATTTATATTTTATTTCCATTATTATTTCTTTATTCTTAATCTCATATCTTTCTAAAAAAAATTATTTAATCTACTTATTTGATATTTCTTTTGAATTTGTATTTTCATTTTCGTTAAACCTTCTTTCATGGCTTTCTATAATTTTTTTATATTCAATATTACTATAAGCGTTTAATTATTCGCCTTTGCACTTCAAGTAAAGTAAACTTTATGATTTTCTTTTGGTTATTTACTCAATATCAGTCAAAGTTGCCAACCATTGCAAAGTGAGCATTAGTTTCGTTATACTCCTCATTGCAAAAGTTAAGTACTGCAAAGCTGAATGGAACGAGTCGAAACGTTTTTCATAACTTAAATTGTACAAAGCCCAGAGTGCGACTAACTGGAAAATCAACACAAAAGCCAACACAATAAAAACACAACGAACTGCAGTTAACGTTGGTTTTGTTCTGGCAAATACAATGATACTGGGCTAAGACAAAGCAATTAGCAATGCAGCATTGAGCCACTGTTAGCAGACACCAATTCACAGCTGTATCCAGTCAAAACTTAATCCTTATATACTAGCTTGTTCAAAAAACAACTCATAAACAA